GTGCTTCAGCGTCGGCCTGATGTTGATCCACGCTGTGCTCTTCCTCGAACCTGCTGTACGCCTGCTGATCCGTCTGCGAGTTGGAGATGGTAATGTGGTACAGGAGTACATCGCGACGCTCACGCAGAAGCGAAAGTGCGGATCTCAGACTCACTATAGAGAACTGTGTGGCTGCCTGGCGTTGCTGGAGCTGATGGAGTTGCTCGGCAACTGGGGCGTCAGACACATACGGGGTAAGCAAATCGGAACTTACCTGTTTCCTAATCGCCTCCAGGTCCTCGATGGCTTTGACGACCTTGGGGATATAGGATTCCACGGTAGCCATATCGATCGATAGCGCACTAGCTCGAAAACTTGCAGGAGGTAGTAACTGCCAAACCCAAATTCTGAAATTGTGCTACATGAGTATGCTTGATGAGGGTGTGACTACTTGCGGACGTAGTCACACGAAATGGTGAGCACAATACACGAGCGAAACGCGTGTAACGATGAACAACAAGCAACGACTGAAACCCCGGGATGTTATATGGGGATGAGTGCCGATGACGAAAGCAGTATCGATCGCAAGGTACCATCACTAACTAAGCCTAGCCACAAATTGCAAAAAGAGAAAAAAGGAATGAGTGCGCAATGCGAGCATGTGGGAAAGAATAAATTTAGGGGCGAGACTCTCATCTGACGCAACACAAGGGCTCGTTCGACGGCCTGATGGCGTGTTTCAGGGCAGACAGAGCCGAACCATCTCGATGGCTGCAGAGAAACCTGGCCACCAGAAGGCACCAGACAGTTCCGGGCAGTAGGCAGGGCGTAGATTGCTGCTGCCATCCAGGTCTACGGGATCACCCTACTCCCAGCTAAGTGGAACTGTGGGTAGTCGCGTATTCGCGTCAGCCTAGTCGCGGCGGAGCTTGCTGATGAGACGAAAGATGAGTTCTCCAAGGAGCCACAAGATACAACCAGCATGTGTACACTGCGCAAACATGTGAAATGGGGAAATGAGATAAAATTTGCACTGCTGGCTAGGGACACTAATGTGCAAGGCGTGCGCATGTGGACTACACAGGTGGGGCTCGATCACAAAAGCTGAACATAGGTTTGCTATCCCTATGCTCAACTCCGGTACGATGCACCATGTCGCGGATTGGGCCCCCGGCTCCCAGCGTCAGTGGTATCTAGGCTCTCCTGCATCGGCGAAGGGAGCCAGGGGTCCGCACCGTGAAATAATGGACCGTGACGTGTGAGGTGGCTACCTGTGCAACTGCTCTGTGGGCCTGCCACATGGGAACTCCATACACTCTTAGGGGCCCTTGCCACCAGCCTGCTTAGTAGCACTCGTCACCTGGGACTCGACCTATGCTTCCAGCCATCGACAGCTGGGGCGTGTACTCCTAACCGTGGCACTTAGCATGCATCGTGCCAGCCTTCCTACAGATGTTACCCGCTAGGCTTGATTACGAAATACACACACAAATGATAACACAATATTCCGGAGCCACAGTCGAGCTGTGGCCACCGCTCCAACACATATCACACCTGCACAATGCCCACCATTTATCCGCAAACTTATCCCTACACTCAAACATACAGGATGAGCACAACCGACCAGATGTTAGCCTAGGGGTCGGCAATATCGGAAACCCCCCGAGGCGGTGTCGCCGGCGTGTGCCAGGTGCGAGCGCGCTCGGGGTTACCTCGTAGCGTGGGAGCCAGTCCTCCATGGCGTTGATGGAAGCGACGCGTGAGATGGGGTAGCGCTGATCGATCGATGGCTTGAGACGATTGGAACCCGACCGCTCACTGTGACGGCAGCTGCGAAGACTGACTACGTGACTTATTTAAACGCCGCGCAGGTGAGAGAGGTGAGAGGCGGGACAGCGCGAGGACGGCGTTTTGGGACCCTTTGCGAGGCGGCGGCGGCGACCTTTGAAGGAAGTCGCGAATCCGCGACAATGTTCAAAGGATTCGCGAACACAGTGGCAAAGTATTCACCCAAGGCCTCTGCTTTATTGGAATCATTACAGCAAGTATAACCCAAAGAGTCTTTCAACACCGGGAGGCTAACCTTACTTTGTAACTTGTGGTGAATGTACCTAAATAAATTTCTCATAGAGGATTTCTTTGATAAGCGTCGCTCATGATTGGCTAGAAACTTTCTGAGGTGCAGATCAATGTCAGCACAGACTTTCTTGTACAGGGGGCTACTTAGAGGTGAATCTAAAACACAAAATAAGCGACACTTCTGTTCAATAAGTGAACGAATATGAGCAGGATAGATCAATCCAAAGTTGTAATTAATTCTCATAGTACCAAACAATGCCATCCCAGTATATATGACTTGGCAGAATCTGAGATACAAGTCATCAACATTGCGATAATTGTCAAACAATGCAGTCCAATCAACTTCAGATAAATACTTGTTGAGGGAAACATAATCAAAGTGCACAAAATCGGGTGTAGGATAAGATGAGACAAGCTGAAAGTTATCTTTATACTCAAATGTAATGATCAGCAGAAGCCAAAGGTGGATAGAGTCTGACACTGTGAACGTTATCCGAAGTAGACAATATGATGTCCAGAATACTATCAGCGTGGGTAGGATATAAGACATGCTGTTTCAATTCAGCATTAATGAAGAAATCAAGGAACGGTTTAGATTCATGGCTAATGTGCTTCATATTGAGCCAATCAATATGTAGATTGAAATCGCCCACAATAAGTGTAGTATTTCCATCGGAAGTTAGATTGGAGAGAAGCTCAATCAGCTGTTTATCATCACCCTGCGTGGAGTTAGGTGGACGATACACGATTACGAACTTGACAGTTTTCAGACTCGACAAACAGAAAAGTTCCACAGTCAATAAATCAGAACGCGAAGCAATGAATCTTGTCACTTGTTTGATGTAGAAGCAACCTTTAACAAGGCAGCATACACCACCACCTTTTCGCTTCGGTCTGTCAGTGCGAAATATGGAATATGGCAAATCACCGATCAGCTCAGAATCGTGTACCTTTGGCTTAAGCCAGGTTTCAGTCAGAAACACGAGATCAGGTTTAGTATAAATCAGAAGCGAATGCAAGTGATGCAATTTATTTACAATACTACGTGCGTTCAGTAAAACACATTTCAGTATCCCAGGATTGCCATGCGTAGTCATTAGTTTACCGAACTCCTACTAGGAAGCTCCGAGACACGCTTTAGTTGGCCGCGATAAACGACCCACTCCTTCTCGGGTTTCCCAGCGTTGAGTTCCTTAGCCTGCTGCCTAAGTTCATATTCGACCCTCCTTTCCTCGGTAGTCATACTTTTACGAATGAATATATTTGAGAAGGGCGAGTTGCGAAGCCGATACGAATTTGCTAGAGCTTTTTTGTCAGTAGTAAATTGACGGAAAAATTACCTTGACTAGCCGAGGACGATCGGGTGTAGCCTTCCCAATGCGAAGGATTTCACTTGGGCAGCAGTCAATATCAGAAACGTCCATGATATCGTCCACCCTACACCTAAGGTCCCTAGCCCGCTCCGAAGCACGGAGATCATTCGACGGCTCCCGTATCCCACTTATGACAATTGTACGTGATCGTTTCTCAGCCTCAAGTTCACCAGAGACCGCATTCTGGAGTCTCTGCGATAGGATGTCTAGCAATTGATCGATCACTGGATCCTTGTTCCTATCCTTGATATGCAGCAGAAGGTCTGAGGCCGACATATTAGAATAGTCAGCACTGGTGACCTCATTTTGCACACCAACAATAGGAGCAGGAGTCGATGCAGAGCTAGAAACACCCCTACGAGATGAACGAGAAGCTTTCGGAGGCATGATCACGATCAAAGGAACTCAATAAAGTCAAAGGCCAAGAAAATCAATACAAAAAGGCGCAAGCAATAGCGATTCCTACCCAGTAGAAAGTAACCGGAAAAGAAAAAAAACAAAAGCGAACCGGAATTAAGCAGCTGAGAGAGTTGCTAACAACAGAATCAAACGTAGACAGCGTTAAAAAGCAAGAATAGAAGAGAAAAAGGTTGTAAAATAAAAAACGGTCAGAGTGGGCAAAAAAGGCAGCCGCTCACTGGCACGGCACAAACAAGAATGTTTTTTGAAGAAAGATATAAAAAATTTTTGGTTTTTTGGCCATCCGAAACTTTCTAGATTTTGATTTAAAACTCGAGATAGACTAAAGCTTCTGCGAAAGCGTAAACGCCATCTTATAGAGCTTGCTTTGCTCTATCGAATGGTATCCTGATGTCTATTTAGAGTAAGAATTGTGTGACTTATTATACGAAAATTCAAAAATGAAAAGACTTATGGGACAACCTAATATAAGGCGTGTTTGACTGATTTGATTAGGCCCCCATAAAATTCCCCCTTGCCATGGGGCGTAAGGCGTAATATGTTTATAGATACCAATGAATTTCTTGGTTTACCAAAGTTTGCGCTGGTTGCTCGTTCAACTCTGGTATTTTCTTTTTTGGCGTTTAGGATTACTTTGCATAAGAGGAAGGTAGGTGCGTATCATAGTAGTGTCATGCTCACCCTCAGCGCCACAATCAACATGGCTCTTCCATTTCAGCAGCGCTAAACAAAATTCAAACTGCACGATAAAATGCCGCACAAAATAGCAGGAATTTATAGTTTCAGGCCTTTTACAAAGTATGTAGGAGCGCTGCATGGCATTGTGCTAACTAAACTGAAAGAAATAGCACAACTTATAATGAAATAGCATGGCCCGATTTTGCGCATATATCAGAACTCTTACTGACTTAATAGAAAACCTCTCTCTTAGCTCTAATTGCAGTCGCATGCACTTTACTCTGCACGCACTTTTGTCTCCACACATTTGGCTGGCGAATACTCGCCTCTCTGTTGAAAATGACAAATTTTCAAGCAAAATAAAGAAGCTCGAAAAATTTGGAAGTGAAATTCGAACGATACACAGCGCCATCTACCATCAGTAAGCAACCCTAGACTATAATTACAAATTCTAGAAGTTATACGCGGAAAATGGAAGAAGAGGAAAGGGATGCGCAAACCAAAATTCATGAGCTACCTACAAGAAGAGATAAACAATCTGACGACGGCAGTCGAAAAGCGCTGAGAAATTTAGGAAATGAAACGGCACAATCGACATATATCGAACACGTCATCGAAGAGGAAAAAGGCGTCGCTGCAGAGGTCAAGGAAGAAGCCCTGTAAGAAGACAATAGCAAAGTAAAAGGGCAAGAAAACGAAGATGATAGGGATGACGCTGCCGAAGGGTAGTAGAGGAAGCCCCGATAGAAGACAATAGCAAAGCAGAAGGGCAGGAAAACGAAGAACAATGGCGATGGCGCCGCCGCAAAACTTGAGGAAGGAGCCTCGACAGTTGAAGAGGAGAAAAAAGTTGGATATGCGCAACTGGGCCGCGAAGCCAAAATCATTCAAAGTAATCAGGACTATATCGAAGTATTGGAGGTTAAAATGCAAGACGCATCGCTATCTGATGAAGTAGATGAGGTCCAGGAACAGCCAGAGATGGAAATCATGGAAGAGCCGGCCAGAGAGGAGCCGGATGAGCCCTTGATACCAGAAAAAGCTCGTCTGCCTGACGAAAGGCTCTTAGATCTTACGCTGGAACTGGAGCTAAATCAAAACCGACAGGCTATTCGCGGATTTGATTTTGATGCTGAAAAACTTGAAGATCAGAAAACTTGCTGGGCCCGCAAATACAATAAATACAATGGCAAGTTCCAAGAGAACTTCGGAAGGAATATGTCGTGCGAGTTCTGCAGTGAAGTCGGAAACTATTAATTCGACCCTTGCACAGAGAGACAGGACGGGAATGACGAGAATTCCTGGAAATGAAGAGAAAATGCGCAATTTGCCTGGAATATTGCGCAGGAAGAGTTCTTTGCAAGAAAGCTTATGACAGGTGCTCTCACTGTCAGAAAAAAGGCACTCGGCTCTTTGCGAACTACCAGGCACGATTCAGGAAATTTCCCGAAGACTGGAACAAGCAAGAACGATACTTCCAGCGCATCGATCAAATTCAAATGGACGTTCGGGAGATCCGTCAGGAATCAGGATACGGTAGCGAAGAAGGTAGCGTTAAAGGCATAAGAAAGTCAACTTGAGTGTTATGTTTTTGCTTGAACGGCGCTCGCCTCAGCATACATAAAAAGAGACAAACATTGCCTTGCTCTTGTTTCATTTTGATGCTCAACCTTTTTTTGCTCTTTTTTTTCTTTGAACATCATTTTATTTGTCATTGTTTGCCCATATTGTTGCATCACATTTTGTCTTTTTTCTACTTTTTGAAAATGCGCGAAAGAAAAGGGAAAAAATCTCAAAACACAGTTGCGCGAGATATTTGTATTTTAAAATATGCTCTGCTCTTCTACGCTGTAAAAGCTTTCAAAACTATTTTTGCGCTTCTTTCATATCCCAGATTGCCTACACTTATGCGCTTGTGCTTGCCATTAATTTGGTTTTTTAGGCTGTTTGACATGTTTTTTTCATCCAATTGATGTTTCTTCATCTAGTTGATATAAATTGACATGCAGCTTGGCAGCTGTGCATCAACAACCAAATTACAAACTACGTTCAGTGCAAGTCTACTTTGAGTCTTCTCCAAAGCGTTTCTGTGGTTTCTGAAATGCTTCTTCCTAAAGCTCTCAATTTTTAGGAAATAACGTGGAATGAATATACAACCCTGTAAAACATTGAAATTCGACTGGTTTGAAGCCCAATTATTATCAATTTTTGACTTTGCAAAGTTAGCAAGCGTTTACTGCTTTAAAATGCCATGATTTTAAGTTTTTGGACACAGCCGAGAACTGCAGAATTTAGAGGTAAAAAGCTTTGCGTTCGATACTTATGCGATTATTTCAGCGCTTGTTGGGAAGGTCACTTCGAAATTATAGCTTTCAAAAAGAACAAGAAGAACAGCATCTATCGTTTAAAGCACTTGTTTGTCAATATTCCAAGAGAAATAGCTCTTATTACTATTGACTCATCCTTGCCTTTTTAGAGAGTATATCGATTTGGGTGCATACAAAATTTGGTGGCTCTTTTAGGCTCATAATCCTTGCGTTTACTGTAAATACCAATTAGACAAGCTTTTGCCTTTTCTTCTTTGCGTTCCGATATTGCTGAAATTCGTAATTCAAAATGTTCATGTAAAGTTTTAAAATCTGCCGGATTGATATATTTGAATGTCTTTCTGTCTGTCTGTCTGTCTGTGTGTCCGTCTGTGTGTCTGTCTGTGTCTGTCTGTATCTGTGTGTCTGTCTGTCTGTTACGTAAGTATGTTCCAGATAGAAGATTCCATTTCTGCACCGATCAGGACTAAACTTGGCACACATACACTTCGGGCGGGGCGGGCATCGTAGGCTCATTTCGTTACCAATCGATATCGATTTTATCGATTTTGTCGCCCTTTTGTAAAGTTTGACATGTGGGGCTGGGAGCTGGCACAAAAGTGTAATCAAGTATACTGATTGCGAATACAATATTTCAAAATCATTAGCTATCTATCGATTCTATCGACTTTTTCAAAGTTAGACATGCGGAGCTGGTAGTTGGCACATTGCCCGGCGCGCCTTGGTTTGGAACATTTTTGAAAACGAAGTTTCGATTTCTTACAAATTTACGTAGTCCCTTTTTGACTAAAAGTGAGTAGGGAAACCTTTATCTGATTAATATAATAATGAAAAAGGGATAAAAACGCATTTTTAAGTATCTATTATAACAAAAGAAAAAAGCATGTTAAAGGCTCTTTCTTTGAATGCAGTAACTTCAGTGCTCTACTTTAGTGGGTCAAAAACCTCCTAGACCAACAAATTTGTTGCCTCATCAATATGGCGATGCATTTTTCGCCACATAGTTTAAAGGACATCACATGTGATCGGAGCGCGATATCTATCAACATGCTTTTGGCCTAAAAAAGAGTAAGAGGCAATGGTTTGGCCCGCTTTCTTCTGTGATAGTTTTTGCGCGTTCTAATTGTCCAAATCAAAAAAGTCCAAAACTTATGTGAGCTATCCGATATTTACGCTGCGAACCAGCCCAGCTGGTTGGACTGGTATAGGCCTAAAAACCAACCAAATTTGGGAACGGGTACTATGACACATAAGTTCCTGGAACTTTTTACTTATTATAGTTTGGAGTACTATTGCACATGTAGCCTAAATTTGGAACTGATTGTCTGTGCCCTGTAAACTAGCCATTTGTTAGTTTGATCTTGCTTTGAAATTCGTGCGCTTGCGAATTAACGAACTCGTAAAAACTTGTTTGTCGTTTCGCTCCGCCCAGGACTCTATAAAAACGATATCTCCATTGCTGTAACCTCAAAAACGAAGTCCAGCTTGAACATGGACCATCTGTGCCGGGCCCTGATACCGGTGTGCGCGGGCACAGGTCCTCTAGTTTTGTCAGGGCGTTGTTTAAAAGAGGCATTCACGTCATGGGCTCGTAATTTTTTTCGATCGCCTTGTAGTTTTCTTGTGTTCTTTGAAAAGATGGACGTTATCTGTGAATACTATCGAGCTATGAATTATGCGGCAGAGCCACCAGGAATGTATTGTTCGAATGGAAAAATTAAGCTGCCACCTGTGCAAGACCCTCCTGAGTCATTACTTTCATACATGGCAGGCACCACTTCACGTTCTAGACATTTTCTGCAAAACATCAGGAAGTACAATGCGTGCTTCCAAATGACGTCATTTGGATTAATTATACCGATAAACGAAAGTGGCTTCATGCCAACTTTTGAGTTCAAGGACAAATTTGCCACAGAATAAAACAAATCCCTAATGACAAGGAGCTAAACTATTAGGTAATAGAATAAAAATGAAAATAAAAAAGTAAAAAACTCCGTTTCGTTTTTACCCTTAGATGGAGTAAAGGAATTATCAATAGCCCTCCCCGGAACTCCTCAGTAAGGAAGGAGGGCTATCTAATAGGTAAAATTTCACTTACCTGAATCTCTTTTGTCCTTGTCCGGTGATGGCATCCTGGGATGAAATGGATGGGCGTAAAGGGTAACAAAGGCCGTTAGCAGTGAATCTTCCATAATGGATACTCGGTTAAGTTATTTATTGATTGTATACGCAGGCAAAATTTTGCTTTAGAGCACGAAAGTAATCCTTTTTAAGTGTGTGTTTGTGTGTGTGTGTGTGTGTGTATGTGTGATGTGATGTGATGTGGTGTATAAATATACACTTATATACATAATATGTAACTTAATAAATTTAGAAGCTTACTCAAAAACTTTTTTGATTTTGTTAAGAATAGCAATAGCTTTATTACAGTATATCCATTACCTTTAAGTATCACTCTGAGCTTTTTAATTCTGTCCAAGAAATCCTCAATCTCTGAGCAAGTTCTGGAAATTCGTAAACATTCAGTGTAGATAACAGCACGTTTGATTTTAGACGAAGTACAGGAATTTACATGTATAAAACGTTTTATAGGAAAATTAAAATTATCTGTTTTGTTATACATTTTAGTACTAATATGTTCATTATTTATGTTAATGTGTAGATCTAAGTAATTGCAGTGATAATCATCAATATGTGTTGACTCAAGATGTAGTTGATAATCATATACTTCTTCTAAGATATTATGAATATTAATAGCAGAATTATAAATGATTAGTATATCATCCATATATCTAAATGGAAAAATTTTGAAATTTATATTTGCTTGTTTTGAAAATCTGTATTCATACCATGCTAAGGTAAGATCGGCAAGTAAAGGACTGCAACTACCTCCTTAAGGAACTCCTATTTTTTTGTTTGAAAAGTATATTACACAGTTTGGTAAAGCTGTTGTCAAGTAAATAATCTATTGAATATAGTATATCAACTATTTTGTAATACCGTATACGTGAATTGGTATTACAAGTATTATCCGTGTAGTAAACTTTATTATATACATTATAGGCTATATATTTCTTGTTTGCGCTTTCAAAACATAATTTCAATATTTCTTTTGTATTATTTTTGGTTATATTATGGGGTAAACTAGTAAACATGTTGATGAAGTCTGCTTAGCTCGGGATTATTTATACTAATGTTTCTAAGTTTATTACTAATGCTTATATCATCTATTGACCAATAATCTATGAAATTTATATTACGAGTTTTATTTGATCGCATGTATCTTCTAAAATGGATTTTGACAAAAGTAAGAATATTTGTTAATTCAATAGATAATGGCTTAATACTATTATGTGTAGCTCCGGTAATAAATCTAAATTTAATTGGTGTTTTATGTAATTTAGGTAAACAATATATCATAGGTATACTGTTATTTGTAAGTATAGGGATATTATTACTACCCTATTTTCAGGTGTATAAGCCGCGGGGTGGTCCTAATTTATAGCGACCAGCCCGAACACATCAAATGATCTCGCAAACAAAGGACCCTATACCGTGCTGCGTATTGCCTGATATAATCGTGGGGCTTGAAAATCGCTTCTCGAAACACAATGGAGCGGCTGAGCAGCCCGGGCGAAAATTGGAAAAAGTGCGGCTTATACACCTGAAAATAGGGTAGAACAAAAATTTAAATGTCGGTTTATAATTTGTGTTTCTGATTCTTTATTGTCTAGTTCATATGTACTGTTGTTATAGAAATTAATCTCATTGTGTGTACTGATATATTAAGTTGTCCCGAAAGTTCGTTCGCACCATTTTCAAAAAATCATAACTTCTCTGCTTCATAGCGACTTTGCGCAATTCAAATTCTATTAGAAAGCGAAAAGCATGTAGTTTCCAATAGTTCCCTTGTGACTTTCCAGCATGTAC